TTGCATCGCATCTGTTTCACCACCGATATTGCTCCACATAGGTTGCACACCACATATTGCACAACATAGCTTGCACCACACATAGGGCTCACTACAGATTGCACAGCATAGAATACACCATGTGGGTTGCACCACACATGGTGTATCACGTCGATTGCACGACATATATTGCACCACATATGTTGCACAACACGTATTGCACCACCTCTGCTGCACAACATAAATAGCACAACATAGATCGCACCACAAATACTGCACCACGAAGATTACTCCATATGTACATACATATATACATTGCACAACACCGGTTGTCCCACACATTTGCGTCACATGGACTCTCGTTTCCAGTGCCAGAAGAATAATACAAATGAATTATACCCCCCATACCGAAGCTGGACTCAACAATCCCCCTCTCGCGATATGCAATTTGCATCAAATTATGGCCCCGTGGCCGCGCGCGTCGTCGCGCGCGCATGCCGAAATTATTTTAAACGACCTTGGGTTTCGTAGGGGTTTTCGCAACCGACTGCCCCGAAACCATATAAACACACGCTTTTGCAACATCAGATGTCAACAAAAACTTGCGCTCGCGCTACAACCATTGGTTTTCCACATGTTCATCAAATTCTGCCAAGCGGGCCTCTCGCGCCAGATGTCGAAGTCATCCGGACGCCCTTGCGCGCACGTTTGGGGGGGGGCATGCTCCGTGCCAAGTAATGCTGCGCGGGCCAATCGCATGCATCGGCCGCGCGCGCTCATGTCGAACTCCTTCAAAAACCTTCACCGCAAACGCGAGGACATCATCATGGGTATCGGCGGGCGTGATCAACAACGGCACCGTCATTGGCTTTGCCATCGTCATCGCCACCTCCGTCACCACCGCTGCTCTCGAAATCATGTCTACCTTTGTCAGCGTCGCCATGATACCGCGCCCGCCCAAGTCACCGACTCGCACTGAAGTGCCCGCAGTGAAGTGCCCAAGGGTCAGCGACACCGCGGCCGCGTCGAACGTGCCAAACTAGCTGGCCGCTGTGCGCGCAAGCATGCGCGGGCTAGCGCGGCCACAGAGATGCACAAGCCAGCGCCAAGCATGCATCGCAATCGCCGCCGCATGGGTTTTGCAAACCAAGTTGCGGGTGGCTGGGTGGGATGCTTGCAAGAGCATGGATTGTGCCAACTCGCTTGTAGCACCACATATATTGCACATCGTATGCTCCTAAAACTGTTTGCACAGCGTAAACTGCACCACCTAGATTGCACGTGGTCGCATCACATATAGTGCCCCACATAAACAACACCACATGTATTGCGAGAGACACACTGTTTGGGGTCCATGCTGGCTAAGATATTGTTGTGCAGCCTCCCACAAGATTCCCACCACCCTCTGGCACAACCCGCCGGCCACACAGAAAAACCGGAAACCAACTTCTTGCCCTCTAAGATGGCCTCCGAGACGCCTCCAAGACGGCCAATATGACCCCAAAGCGGTCCCAAGAGTGCTCCAAGAGGAACTCCAGGAGGTCAAAAAGTTACTGCTTGGACTCAGGTCTTCCAGTGATGATAAGTGTTTTCGCCCTTTCGGGCTTCGGGCTCTCCAGGCCGGCTCCATATGCCCCCAAGATTCTCCAAGACGACCCAGGAGGCCTCTAAGGCCCGCAGGACGGGCCAAGAGGGCCCCAAGACAGCCCAAGAGGCCCACAAGACGGCCCCACAACCGCCCAGAGAGGCTCCCAAGGCGGCCTCCGAAGGCCAAGAGGTTCCTCTGAGGCCCCCAAAGCCCTCAGAGGCCCCGAGAAGGCTCACAAGAAGGCCCAGCAGGCCCCCAAGAGGCCCCGACGAGGCCTCCAAGAGGCTCCCAGGAAGCTCGCAGGAAGCCCCAAGACGGCCTCGACAGGACTTCTTTTCCCCTTCCTTCTCTTCGTCATCCTCCTCATTCCTCTCCTCTTCCTTTCTCTTTCTCTCCCGACTGTTCCCCCAATGGGTTCCACAACGGCTGGGAAACACACATAGTCCAATAGCTTGATCAGAATTTAGCCCACGTTTGGCCGCATGGGCGTTTCCAGAGGGCAGGGGGCGGCGGTGGTTCGCCGTGGGCGCCTTGGATAAAATCGACCCTGCCATGGGTCAAACTTGTCAGGTGATGTGAAGAGTGGGACAGAGTTGATCACCCAGCAAGACACTCGAGTCAAAAGAGCGACGGATGAAGATAGCGCCGCAGTCACCAAGTGTGGCATGGCTGGGGCACAGAGAATGTCGGATCTAGACGCAGAAACAGGATCGACACAGAGCCAACCTTCCACCTTCCCTCCCTCAAACATCCTCTCCCGTCTCTCCTCTCCTCCCTCCTCCCTCTTCCCTCCTCGTCCCTTCTCATCCTCCTTCTTCCCTCCTCCGCTTCCCCTTTACTCTTTCCTCACTCCCAATTGGAAACAAGCACGCACCCAAGACTTAATGAACACGAACATGAGCGCACCAGCGGAGCCTCCCCCACGGCCCCGAGGGCCGCCCAACATGGGGCCAGCTTCGGATCGGGAAGCCGGGTCGAGGTCGGAACCCCGTCGTAACTGATGGAATCGGGGCCAAGTCGGCAGTCGCCGCGTCGGCTCCAACATCACAAACCAGAGCTCGGATCGAAGACTTTCTCGAGTCGGATCGATGCCGAACCGGCCTGGGGCTGCGCCGGATCGGGCCAGATCGGAGACCCAGGTCACCAGACGCTGAAAAGCGCCCGCCGCTGACGACGAAGAGACGCAGACAGGGCCGGGGGGCGCCGCCGTCGACACAGACTTCCGATTCAGCGTTTTTTTCCCCGAACAGTGCTTGCACTACTGCAGCGTGGCTCATGGTTGTGACCTCTGTCACGGCGCGCTTGTGAATCGAGATGCGCGGAGAGAGCGCTTCCTCAAGTGATGCTGCGATGAGGCGAGGTGTCCCAGAACACAAGAACCCGCTCGCCGTAGTCATAAAACGGAGTGAACCACCCCGGCGGTGGTGTAAGCTCTCCATGTGGAAAAACGGGCGGGGGAAATTTCCACACCGCTATGCACATACAGTACCCCCCCCCAAAGAAAAACAAAACCGGGTGTGGGGCCGACACCCACTCCGCCACAGCCCGGTCCCACATTGCAGGACTCTGCAGGGGGGCAGGGGGTCCCACGTCAGCAGGGATGGCCAGAACTTTAGCAGCAGCTTGCGCGGCTTCTGCACAAGTGCTCGGGCGGGTTCACGCAGCGCTCGCCGGGTCGCCGCCCGCGGGCGCCTCGTGGGCTGGCGCCGCCCGTGGGGGCGCCTCGCGCCTTGGCTGGGTTGCCAGGGTTTCGCCTGGCCGCCGTCCGTGGGCGCCTCGTGGGCGTCCCCGTCCGTTGGCTGGCGGCTCGAAGCGCACATTGCTCACACCCCATAGATTGCACCACGCAGATGGCGCTCAGTAGATTGCACCACGCAGATGGCGCCCCATGGCTTGCATCGAACGGCATGCACTACGCAGAGTGCACCCCGAATGCTGCACCTAATACGGTTTGCTGGCGGCTCGAAGCACACATTGCTCACACCCCACAGATTGCACCACGCAGATGGCGCCCCATCGCTTGCATCGAATGGCATGCACTGCGCAGAGTGCACTGTGCATGCTGCACCAAACATCTTGCACCACACGTATAGAGTGCAACACACACATTGCACCACATCGCATACATCACATAGATTGCAACTCAGGGGCAAAACCCCCTTCCGCAAAACACCCTGTAGTGAAAACGACCCGGGGACCACACCTGGCGGGCGCAAGCCCGCGAACATGCGGCCGCAAACCTTCTCGAGAACCAACAAATGGCAATTCGCTAATCGACTTGGCAACGTGCGGGTTCTATCAACCTCCGAACAACTGGATGACGCGAATGTCTTCATCTTTGCCACCGTGGACACTGAAGCTTCCAGAACACTCGCTCTGCACGTCAAATTCCCTCACACAAGCTGTACGGCGTCGCGCGCTGTCGGCGCGACGAACGAGGCGCGCCCCCCTGGGCCCGTTAAGAGCAGCTCTACTCGGATGGACCAGCTGCTTGCATGCAGGAGGGTTGAGGCGACCCGACTTCCTAACAATCTGTGCAGCCATCGCCGAACACCTGCCAGCCGAGGCACGGGTCGTTGGACGGGTTCCGAGCGCAGTAGCCCTCTCCGTGAGACGCGTGGACGTACGCCTGCAGGTCGACGCCGGCCTTTGTGCCGTCCGTCAGGTCGCAAGTCCACCCGCAGTCCTCTCCCTCCCAGCACGACTTGCACGAGGCAGTCCCGGCGTACTGGCCCTGCCACTGCTGCGGGCACACGCTGCCCTTGATGTCCAAGCCGTCCCAAAAGGCGCAGCTTCGCTGCGGGTCGGTGGACTGCAGGGAAGCAGACGCCTGGGCGCTGCTGCTCATGCCACTGGCTGCACAATCGGTGCAGCCATCGCCGAACACCTGCCAGCCGAGGCACGGGTCGTTGGACGGGTTCCGAGCGCAGTAGCCCTCTCCGTGAGACGCGTGGACGTAAGCCTGCAGGTCGACGCAGGCCTTGGTGCCGTCCATCAGGTCGCAAAGTCACCCGCAGTCCTTCTCCCTCCCAGCACACTTGCACGAAGGCAGTCCCGCGTACTGGCCTGCTCACGCTGCGGGCACACGCTCTGCCCTGGATGTCCAAGCCGTCCCAGAAAGCGCAAAGCTTCGCTGCGCGGCGGTGGGACTGCCGGAAGCAGAACGCCTGGGCGCTGCTGCCTCTAAGCCGTTGGCTGCACAAAAATCCGGTGTCAGCCATCGCCGAACACCTGCCAGCCGAGGCACGGGTCGTTGGACGGGTTCCGAGCGCAGTAGCCCTCTCCGTGAGACGCGTGGACGTACGCCTGCAAATCGACGCTGGCCTTGGTGCCGTCCGTCAAGTCGCAAGTCCACCCGCAGTCCTCTCCCTCCCAGCACGACTTGCACGAAGCAGTCCCGGCGTACTGGCCCTGCCACTGCTGCGGGCACACGCTGCCCTGGATGTCCAAGCCGTCCCAGAAGGCGCAGCTTCGCTGCGGGTCGTTGGACGATCCACGCAGGCTCGGCGCGGGAGTGCTGGCAGCTCCAACGGCAAAGGTGACGGTGAATCCGCCACCGTGCACCCTGGTACGTTGAGGCGTGGTAGCATGCCAAGGGCTGTCAGGTAACATATGTGTTTTTTTTGTCCCCCCCTCCCGAGGCCACAAGACGATGAAACATTTGCGCTCCAGAGGCCAGTGGCAGGGTCCGCATGCAGTTCCACCCCCCATTTCGGCGCACCCCTTGCACGTTCCGCGGCCCCATAGGTCGCTCCACCGACGGCTCTGGTGGCAACGTCCGCATGGCGTACCCGTGCCAATTTTGGCACACCCGTCACACGCGTCGTGACCCCAGAGAGGTTCACCGAGGTCGATACCCACAACTGCGTCACTCACAACTGCACATGGTTGGGTCCCTCGCCAGGATAATTTTCGTCCCCCCTCCCGAGGCCACGATCTCTGGGCAAAAGACGATGAAACATTTGCGCTCCAGAGGCCACGATCCCAGGTAACAAACTATGGATCCGCCTCCCGAGGTTCCAAGACGGCCCAGGCAGGCAACCAAGGCCGCCAAGATGGCCCAAGATGCCTCGAAGACGGCCCAGGATGGCCCCAAGGCGGCCCAAGAGGGCCTTGGAGGGCCACAAGAGGACCCCCCACAGGGTCCGAAGACGCCCAAACCGTTGAGCTCCCTTAGGTGTGTGAGCGTCTCTCAACTCAAGACGGCCCAAGAAGCATCCCACATGGCCCCAAGACGGCCAGAGAGGCCCCCCAGAGGGTCTCAAGATGGCCCACTAGGACTCCACGATGGCCCAAATGGTATCCAAGACGGACGGCCCCAACACGGCCCAAGAGGGTCCCCAGGGGGATCCAAGACGACCTTAGAAGGCCTTTCGACGGCCAAAGACTGCCCCGAGACGGTCCCCAGACACCCCCCGATACGGCCAAGATCGCCCCAAGAAACGGCCCAAGAGAGCCCCAAGACGGCCGAAGAGCCCCAAGACGGCCCCAAGACGGTCCCAAGGAGCCCTGAAGACTGCCCCACAGGAGACCAAGGTAGCCCCAAGACCAGTCAAATGAACTCCATTAGGGCTCCGCAAGAGATGAAAGTGAAAGGTGTCAACTGTGACAGCCGTTCTCTTCCTCCTTCTCCTTCTCCGCCGCCTCCTGCTCCTCCTCCTACTCCTCCTCCTCTTCCTCTTCCTCCTCGCCATCATCATCATCAGCATTACCATTTTCATCATCATCATCATCAGCATCATCATCATCATCACCACCACCACCACCACCACCATCATCATCATCATCATCATCATCATCATCAGCATCAGCATCAGCATCAGCATCAGCATCATCATCATCATCAGCATCATCATCATCATATCATCCTCCTCCTCGTCCTCCTCGTCCTCCTCGTCATCATCATCATCATCATCATCATCATCATCCTCATCATCATCCTCATCCTCATCCTCATCCTCATCCCCATCCTCATCCTCAGCCTCAGCCTCATGCTCACCCCCATCATCCTCATCACAGCCCTCCCAAGCCTGGGAACACGAGGTGTCACACGTGACGGCCTCCCGTGCCCCCTCGAACAGTCGCCACTCAGAATGCTGGGCTGGCACGGTGGCGGAACTTGCCGCTGGCAGATTGATCCGCAGCCCTCTGCATTCGTCACAGGGGTGCTTGGCGTGCTCGACGTTTATCTCCAAACAGTGCTTGCACTTAGGGGTTCTTATTTCTTTTCTAAGGAACTGTGCCTGTGTATCGGTCTGGCGGCTCTGTTGTGGCCGTCGCCGCCCCGTCGCCGCCCGTAACTGGGCCTGCCTGTGCGTCTGGCGGCTATGTTGCCGCCGTCGCCGCCCCACCGCCGCCGTCGCCGATCGTCGCCGCCAGATTGCACCATACAGGTTGCACAATACATATTGCACAACCTAGATTCCCCTTTCTATAAAGAGACTAGACTCTACCCCCCCCGGAGTTATCGCGCCCCCTGGGATAATAGGATTTCATATAGATTCTGCACACGCGTCCATCCTAAATATGAAACCATACCATCCCAGCCAAACCGGGCTCCCCCCCCTGAGGTTCCCTTTTTAAAAACACTATGCGGTGACATGTTTTGTTCTAACATCGCACTTTTTCACGAACCCCTTGCAACAAATGAAACGTAATGCACACGCGCGCGTCGTCGCGCGTGCATGCCGAAATCCTTCAAAAACCTTCGGTGTCAGAAGGGATTCGCAATCGAGTTACCAAAAAAAACATACACAAACGCATGGTTTCGCAACACAGAGTTGGTAAAAAAAACTCCCGCGCGAGCTCTTGCGAAATCTAAAGAAAACCATGTTTTTTTTCAAGACTTTCACAAAATGCTACCAAACGGGCTTCGCGCGCGCAAGTCGAAATCTGTCGAACGCCCTTGCGCGTGTGCCGTCGCGAGAATCCTCTGCAAAAAAACTGGACGAAATGCAGACGCGCGCGTCGTCGCGCGCGCAGGCCGAAAACCTTCAAAACCCATTGTTTTCGGAAGGATTGCAGAATCGTGTCCAAAAAACCTTCAAAAACACAACGTTTCGCAACACGGATTTTCAACAAAAGCGTGCGCGCGCGCTTTTGCGTCGTCGTCGTCGTCGTCGCCGTCCTCCCTCATCCCGCGTCGTCGTCGTCGTCGTCGCCTACGTCGTCCTCTGTCTTTCCTCGTGTTCGTCGTCGTCGTCCTCTTCGGCGTCGTGGTCGTTTCCGTCGTCGTTGTCGCCGTGGTCGTCCTTCCTCCTCCTCCCTCGTCGTCGTCGTCCGTCGTCGGCGTCTCGTCGTCGTCCGTCCTATTTCGTCGCCGTCGTCGTCGTCGTCGTCGTTGTCGTCGTCGTCGTCTTCCCTCCTCCCTCGTCGTTGCCGTCGTCGGCGTCGCCGTCTTTCCTCCTTCTTCGTCGTTCGCGTCGTCGCCGTGCTCCCTCATCCCTCGTCGTTGTCGTCGTCTTAGTCGTTGTCGCCGTCGTCGTCCTTCCTCCTCCCTCGTCGTCGCCTTCGTTGGCGTCGTCGTCGTCGTTTTCGTCGTCGTCGGCGTCGGCGTCGTTGTCGTCGTCGAAGTCGTCGGAGAGGAGACGTCGTCGGTGTCGTCGTAGCCGTTGTCGCCGTAGTCGGTCTTAAGAGGTTTTGCAAGCCAAGTTGCGGGTGGGTGGGTGGGGTGTTTGCGCGAACAGTGAAGATGACGACTTCAAGTTCAGCAGAATGGATTCTCTTTTCTAAAAGATTAATAGATTCCCCCCCGAACTTATCGGTCCCCCCTGGGATAGTATGATTTCATATATATATAAGTATATATATATATATTCTGCACACTCGTCCGTCCTAAACATGAAACCGTACCATCCCAGTCAAACCGGGTTCCCCCCCCCCCCTGAGGTTCCCTGCGGTGACATTTTTTGTTCTAACGTAGTACTTTTTTGCGAATCCCTTGCAACAGATGAGACGAAGTGCACACGCGCGCCTCGTCGCCAACGCCTGCCGACATCTTTCGACAACCCTCGGTGCGGGAAGGATTTCGCAATCGAACTTCCCAAAAAAACATACAACAACGCATGGTTTCGCAACACAAGAGTTGCTAAAAAAAGCTTCCGCGAAAGCTTTTGCGAAATCTTGAGAAAACCATTGTTTTTTTTTCAAGACTTTCACAAAATGCTACCACACGGGCTTCGCGCGCGCTCATGCCGAAATCTGTCGAACGCCCTTGCGCGTGTGCCGTCGCGAGAATCCCCTGCAAAAAAACGGGACGAAATGCAGACGCGCGCGTCGTCGCGCGCGTATGCCGAAAACCTTCAAAACCGATCGATGTCGGAAGGGTGTCAAAATCGTGTGTCCAAAAAACCTTCAAAAACACAAGGCTTCGCAACACGGATTTCCAATTAAAGCGTGCGCGCGCGCTCTTCCGTCGTCGTCGTCGTCGTCGTCGTCGCCGTCCTCCCTTCTCCCGCGTCGTTGTCGTCGTCGTCGTCGTCGCCTACGTCGTCCTATGTCTTTCCTCGTGTTCGTCGTCGTCGTCCTCTTTGGCGTCGTGGTCGTTTCCGTCGTCGTTGTCGCCGAAGTCGTCCTTCCTCCTCCTCCCTCGTCGTCGTCGTCGTCCGTCGTCGGCGTCTCGTCGTCGTCCCTCCTATTTCGTCGCCGTCGTCGTCGTCGTCGTCGTCGTCGTCGTCGTCTTCCCTCCTCCCTCGTCGTTGCCGTCGTCGGCGTCGCCGTCCTTCCTCATTTTTCGTCGTTCGCGTCGTCGCCGTCCTCCCTCCTCCCTCGTCGTTGTCGTCGTTGTCGCCGTCGTCCTCCCTCCTTCTCGTTGTTTGTCTTTCGTTCAGGAGGCCACAGCCTGACGAGCCCCCTATCAAGCATTATTTGCATATCCGCTCGGCAGCCACAGTGTCGTCGTCGTCGCGACGACGTTGGCGTTCGTCGTCGCCCGCCGCCGCGTCGTAGTCCTACGTCGTGTCGTCGGCGTCGTTGACGTCGTCAGTCGTCGTCGGTGTCTCGTTATCAACGTCGTCGGCGTCGTCGTCGTCGTCGTTGTCCTCGTCGTCGGCGTCGGCGTCGTCGTCGTCGTCGGTGTCGTCGTCGCCGTCGTCGTCGTCGTCGTCGTTGTCGGCGTCGTCGAAGTCGTTGGAGACGTCGTCGGTGTCGTCGTACTCGTTGTCGGCGTCGTCGTCGTCGTTGTCGCTGTCGTCGTCGGCGTCGCTGTTGTTACCAAGTGCCATTTGGTACCCACCGTCACGGTCTTGAGAGATTTTGCGAACCAAGTTGCGGGTGGGTGGGTGGGATGTTTGCGCAAGCAGTGGAGTGGACAACTCACTGCGAACAGAAACTGATTGCACAGCATAGAATGCACCATGTGGGTTGCACCACATATTGTGTATCACATCGATTCTCCTTTCTAAAAAGAGACTCTCCCCCCCCCTCCCCCCCACA